AGGGTAAAATATTGGAAGATTGCCAATTCAATGCTTACATTCCAAAGGAGCATGTAGGTTATCGCAAACAATTTCAAACGATTCTAACTTGAATTATGAATATTTTCTGATCATGAACATGGGTGTATCTTTTAGATCCATTCATTATCTTCAAGAAAAGTACATACATGTATAATGATAATTTAGTTAATCAGACCTAAGTGATATTGAAGGGGCAATGGACCAATCAACATACTTTTTGAAAAATGTTGACCTAATTTTCACCAAAAATGCAAACTTTTATTATATTGTTGAATGCATAATTAGAATGTGCTTTGAGACATGTTCGATTTCCTAAAAGGAAAAGTTGATTGCTCCAGGGACTTTAAAGATACTGAATTTGGATGACCAAAATGAACTGAAACTAATGGATAGCATGGGATTTTTCAATGGAGAAATAACATGGGGAACACTTATCTAAAAGCAATTAAGTTTTTCTCTCAAGAACTATTTGATACATCAAAATAAAGAATAGTAATGCATTAAACATTGTAAAAAATGATTGCATTTTTGGTGAAAATGGGGTCAACATCTTTGTAAAAGTGTGTTGATGGGTTGATTGCTTGATAAATATCTCCGAGTTTGTTTGACTATTATTACTATGCATAATTTTCTTTGAGATAATGAATTGATCTAAAAGATAAACGTGTCTTCATTGTCAGAAAATAGTCATAATCCAAGATATAACCTTCTGAAATTGTTTGCGATAACCCACATGTTCCTTTAGTTCTAGGAAAGGAATCATGATATCTGATCAGTTTTAGAAGTTATTGAACAATTAAGTTGTCAAAATTCATTAGATTTGAAACAAAGATATCAAGTTTTTATTAGATAACCTAATGTATCAAAGGATTATTAGAAAAGAAAGTCGAAATTGTTGGACCTTTTAGAAAATAGGTATGACATGGACTGATAAGAGCAAGAAAAATTTAAATTGTGACAATTTTCCAAAACTTTCTCTCAACTCTAACCTTTCTTATTTCGTTATTTTCTAACCATATTTTGTGTGCTTTGGACATACTTGAGAGCATAAAATGCCACCAGAGAACATTTGAAACCATCTTCAGTAAAAACTAGATCCATGTTATAATATTAAAAATATGGGTAAAATGTGGCTGCATTGTAAAAGAAGTACCATTTTGAAGATTCTTGAATTTGTTTTATCCAAATGTGCTTTAAATTTTAATGTTTAAGATACATCCAAAATCTACAAATATTACAAATGGCCACAACTTCAGCACCAATTTGTGCTTATTTCAGAGCTGGACTATTGCTAATATTTAAGTATAAAAAAACATTCGCAATATTGTGTATTTTTAATATTATTGACATTATCGCAATTAGTGATATCGCCATGAGTGATAATAGTGATAATAGATGATAATATTGATAATAGATGATGATACTGATAATTGATGATAATAGATCCAACATTGATAATTACAAATAATGAAACAACAATTAACAGAAAACCAACCAATCTCTTATCTAAAAAATCCTGTAAAAAACAATTATTGTGAAACTACTGTATTACTGCATTCTTTCAGTTAAGCTTGGCAAGAATGACATGGTGTTGGGAAGGTGCATATCCTAAAATCCAGTGCAACTAGACAAAGGAATCTCATATTGGTCCACCACTCTACACTCCCCTTCATAAGTTTGGCAACTGAAAGTCCACTTTTGGGTCACTTATTAAAATCCGTTATGTATAGTGATTATAAATTACTCATCAAATTTGTCATAAATTTCCAAACTCATTAAGATTCAAACAAAGTACAGGATATTGTATCCAATGAAAACTTCCAGTTAACAAACTTATGGAGGGGAGTGTACATCATATGAGACTGTAATACATGTAACATGAATTTAGAATTCAATATAAGAAGAACATGTAATCACGTGTAGAGACATCAGTTTGTAATTAGCAGGTAATTATGTTGAGTATGGTCTCCTACTGAGAAAGCTTTATTACTTGAGCATCTTTAATATTCTTTCTTTCTCAATCATGTCAAATAACACTTGAAATGTCAGGTGTTTTGGGATCCAATGTTTTTCATATTTTCAATTAATGTTGTAGATACAGATTTTCTATACAAATATTGAAATAAAAGTTGCTAATTTGTGTTTTTTGTCATTGGTATTTACTGGTACCTCTTGTTTATTTTTCTCCTGTTTGATTTTGCACTAAAAAGGAATAAAAATGGTCAAAAATACATCTGTACATATCACAATCAAATAGGAACATGTCTACAGGAAATATGAGAGAATTTCTAAAAGAGAGCTTTGACTTTTAACAATTCTGCACATATGTTTCACTGACATTTCGTTGAATGCTATCTTCTGACTGTGATTAACAAACCTAATTTGATAAGGTCAGTGAGTAATTAAGAGGTAAAACAAGGCATTAAGTAAAACAAGGCATTAAAGGCACATTGTAACATACAGCCAACAAAATGATTCAAAAAGTTTTTTTCAAGCTTAAGAGTTGATTTCATGGTTAAAACCTTCTCTGATGATTCTATTTTCAAACTATGCATGCAGGTCCATTCAAAGTCGTTTATTGAACCTTGAAAAGCCATATTTAGACTGAGGATTGAAAGGTGTTCACAAACTTTCAGCTCATTATTACGATAGACCGGAAGTGAATTTTTGTCTGATATCTGCTTCAATATGGTATGTATACTTGTGTTGATTGTTAAATTGCAAAATAGGAATGGTAAACAATATGTTCAAGTTATTTGATCTTGTCATAGAAGCAATATTTTGTCACATGTATCTCCAAGAATCCCTTTAACATGCAAAATGTCACCATCTTGTAAGTTATTGTAAATTGTCCACAAAAAAGTTGAAGACTACAACAAAATGTCACAACTTCTGGTGATGACATAATAAAATTTCTATGAAATGCCCATATATAGACAAAGACAGCACATATTTCCTATTTCTTTAACTACCAAAGAAACACATCCACATAAAATGAATCTAAAATTGATAATTCAGAGTGGGATGATACCAATCACTCTTGCTAAGGATATCAGACACTAGAACTGACCCTTGATATATGAATACTCTGCATTCTCATAAGACATAATAACATGACATATATATAATATGGCATATGACATAATAATGACTGTTTCCCTAGGATGATTTAGTTATTAGCAATAAGATCAGATGAAGACTACAGCCTAGCCCACATCATACATACTCATCTTACAATTACATTCACTGGCTACATGCACTAAAATAAAAGACAACGATGGATAGCGCCAATCACCCTTTTGATTTCCAGGCTCTACAAAGTGTTTGAAAACAGAGCCTTACTTCCCCATCCTCCATGCCTAATTGACCCTTCGCCTTATTCCCCCATTCCCCATGCCCAATTGTCACCATTGCCTTATTCCCCCATTCCCAATCAACTCATTGCCTTTTCCCCATTTTCTGTGCTCAATTGCCTAATTCCCCCATTCCCAATTACTCCATTGCCTTATTCCCCATTCTCTGTGCCCAATTGCCTTATTCCCCCATTCTCCATGCCCAATTGCCCCATTTCCCCATTCTTCATGCTCAATTGCCCCATTGCCTCATTCCACCATTCTTCATGCCCAATTGCCCCATTCTTCATGCCCCATTGCCTTATTTCCTATTCATCATGCCCAATTGCCCCATTCGCCCATTCTCAATGCTCAATTGCCCCATTCGCCCATTCTTAATGCCCAATTGCCCCATTCGCCCATTCTTAATGCCCAATTGCCCCATTTGCCCATTCTTAATGCCCAATTGCCCCATTTGCCCATTCTTAATGCCCTATTGCCCCATTCGCCCATTCTTAATGCCCAATTGCCCCATTCGCCCATTCTTAATGCCCAATTGCCCCATTCGCCCATTCTTAATGCCCAATTGCCCCATTTGCCCATTCTTAATGCCCAATTGCCCCATTCGCCCATTCTTAATGCCCAATTGCCCCATTCACCCATTCTTAATGCCCAATTGCCCTATTCGCCCATTCTTAATGCTCAATTGCCCCATTCGCCCATTCTTAATGCCCTATTGTCCATATCTGCAAAATGAAAACCCAGTTGGCACTCTGTTTTCATTGATTGCACTTGTGATTATAAAAAGTATTCTGCCAAGTTTTTCTTTATTTTGTAACTCATCATAGTTCACCAATGTTATGGCTAAATACATGAACCATAATGGAACACAACGAAGATATAAATACAAAAATTGTATGATTTATGCTGTTCCTTGTGAAAAGACAGACATTGTTTGTCCTTGACAATGAGCAGAATAAAATCAAAGATCACATTTGCCATGAATTACAAAAACAAGGTCTTTGTTATGATTCTAATATGATAAACAAACCAGAAAAAGCTTCACTCTAATACTCATTATGTCTCATTTATTATCAAATACCGCCCTTTGTAAGAAATAAGATGTGATTTTATACCTCAGGCTGGTCCCTGAATTGTTTTGATCAAAGTATTAATGATTTGGTCAAAGTATAAGACGGCATTAACATGTGAAATGTCACCACATGCCATTTCTTACAAACACCAACCATCAACCACCCTCACAAAAAACGGAGACCATAACAATATTTTACCACTTTTGGTGGTGACACAATAAATTGAAAAAAAATTAAAAATTTCTTCACCAAGATATTTAAGCCTTGGTTACTATAGTTCTTAACTGAGTTTTCTCTCAAAATCTAAATGCAGTAAAATCTAAATGCAGTCTTATCTGAAATGAATAACTCTGGGACCGGCCAAAAGTGATCCTTTCAGGGTTTCTTCAGCAAGTAAGATAATAGGTGATTCCCAAAATAGGAGAGAAAGTGTTCATTAAGAGAGGTGTTCAGATAAGAGGTATTCATAAATGCAAGTTTTACTGTAGCTCTTTGGGGAAAGTTAGTGTTCATGAAAATACCCTAGATTTATATTGCTTAGATTTTTACATACCTGAACTCCCGAGGCTTTTGACCTCAGTGCTTTGTGAAAGAGCTCCTGATTGGTCGGTGAGATATCACCAATGTCAACATGCCGACAAAGGAGACGTTCTGGCAAAGGAGCAACTCTCCAATCAGAATCGCGAATATGTTTTGTTTCTTCTAGAAAAGATGGCAGCACACATTCTTTGTCAAGCTGTATTTTCTTTATCTGTCGATCCCTCAATATCTTCAAAGAAAAACATTAATATATGGATCATACATACAGGGTGGTCCAAAAAATTGGACACTCATATTTCAAAAATAAAAATTGATTTTCTTGAGGAAAACATGTCATATTATATACCCGTGGATAGGGAATTTACTTATCTTTAATTTGGTATACCATGAGTTAAAATTTATTATAATATCTGTCAACCAGCGCCCATAATATAAATGACATCATTTTCGTTTCAAAACAGGTTTTCCGAAACATCAGATGATCCAATTACATGTATGTTGTTTTTGGACCATCCTGACTGACAGAATTGGTATATCACAAATCCTTAATATCTATTCAGTCCCTTAAGAACAGAATTATTGAGAAGTGAAATTCATTGTCTCAACAGCATATCAATGATGCTATTGACCAATTTAGGCCAAAATTGAGGGCTACAATTGATCAAAATGGTGGACATATTGAACATCTGTTTATGTAAATAAAGTTGACAATAAAACTTGGTTTTTGCTAGTTTTGGATAAGCCATTTTGAAACGAAAATGATGTCATTTATATTATGGACGAGTATGATATATCAAATTAAAAATGAGTAAATTCCCTATCCACTGGTATATAATATATCATGTTTTCTTCAAGAAAATCAATATCTATTTTCGAAATATGTGTGTCCTATTTTTTTGGACCACCCTGTATAATTCACTGGTTACAATTTTCAAATATTTTAGACAAGTGATTGGTTTAAGCCTCAAATAATCTCCCAATATTTTTTTACTGAACAGGATGCATTTCACCTTCAAAAAAAAATTTAACTAGTAAGGTAAAACCAGTCTAAGTGGAACACCTTTTGTAACTCTTAAAAGTATTTTATGTGGGATGTGTTCCACTTGTGGTAATAAAGGATACAATACAATACTATAGAGGTTCATTTGGTCTTGGGAGTCTGAAAATTATTCCACTTATAGGGGTGTTCAACTTCTAGAGGTGTTCCACTTTACAGGTTTCACGTAAATAAGCAAATGTCTAAAATCTAATGCCAAGTATAAAGATTATTTGTATTTCCAATCTTCCTAGTTTCTCAGAATAGAGATACAGTAAAACCTGTCTAAGTGGAGCACATTTGGTACTTCTAAAAAGTATTTCACTTGGGAGGTGTGTCACTTATAGAGGTTCATTTGAAATTAAATCAGTTGATCTTAGGACTCCAGAAAGTGTTCCACAAACAGAGGTGTTCCACTTTACAGGTTTCACTGTATTTCACATTTTGACATGATGCAAACATATCAACAGGATAGTATGTAATTTTCAGATTTCCAATAGAGGGCAGAACATAGTTGTACTCTATTTTAGAGAGAGACTTGTTTTACCTGTTCTACTTCACTCTCAAACTTGAGAACAAGCTCAGCTACAAAGTTTAAAGCTTCAGTTGTAAATAGCTCCTTGTATTGCAGTTCTAAGCCTTTAGGGGGCGCTGAGATTTCAAACAGTCCCATTTAATCCTAAAATAAAGTAATAGAAACATTGATGTTCACATTTTCATTTTAGACCTCAGATACAATAAGGCATAACTTTTCAAATAAAATCAAATTTTCAAAGTTGATAAACTCTTTTCAAAACCACATTTCAAGATGTAATTTTACATGTAGATTCCAAATATGGCATCAGTTTAACTGTTATGTACATGTATAATGATGTTGTTAATGATTTATGAAAGGTAAGAATAAAAAGTGTCATTTGCCTTATAAGAGGGATAGGCTACACTTATTAGTAAATAAGTTTCAATTTTCAAGTGTTTTAACTGTAATAAGTTAGTAAAAGTACTGAGTAAGCTTGCTGATTGGTAAGAAAATGTGTCAGTGCAATCAGTTGATTTAATCAGTTGGTGATGGCCACCAGCAGTAGTGACAGGGCTGCTGCTATTCTGTATAAAACTGTCTACCTCTTTAGAGATTATTTTAAAACTAAACTCTGCACTCAAGGTAATATAATTTGGATACTGATATGTTGTTACTAACCCCAAACTTGGTGCCGTGGATGAATTTGAATATGAAATACAAATACCAAAACAAAAAACAGGTGCTGTTTATTAGTCTTCATTGCCAAAGACTGTTGTATCTATTTTAATTTGAGACGTTTCGACTGCATACTGTACTGCATCCATGATCACTAAATATTTTAAGATGAAACAGTTGAAAAATACATATCCAAAACTGTTAAACTGAACTAAAGCATTACATGACAATAGAATAATAAAAACAATATTCCCGTCAATTTATAATTCCCTTGATCCCCTTATAAATTATATTATCATATTATAAATAAATAAAGGTTGTGAATTGAAGAAAACTGTTTTTTGTATCAAAATACCAAGCTGAAGAACGTTTTAAGAAATCTGATATAATTCGACAATATCAAGTACAGATGAACCTCTCTTTTAAGGGAGATAAAATACTTGATTCAATGATCAGCAGAATAATTGACACCCTTTAATAGAACACCCATTGAGTAACAATAATAAAATGAATAAACCGCATTTGATAATGTAAAGTTTACTTACCATTTACAATACAGTAAACTTAATCCGTGCATATAACAAAACATTTGTACATGTATTTATGTATTTACATGTACAAAGTTTATCTGACCTTACCTGTTTAATCATCAAACATAAACAGACTTTGATTATAAATGATCCAAAATGGGACTCTAGTTGCCAAACTTATGGAGGGAGTGTATATATACTAGATACATATATCACTTATGGAGGGGAGTGTATATATACTAGATACATATATCACTTATGGAGGGGAGTGTACATGTACAAAGTTTATCTTGACATTGTATTACTTTCACCTGATTTACAGTAAACATTCTACATGTAGATTACAAAATAAATCCATCGAACAACTGTACCATTTATTGAGATTAATCTGTTGTTTATCTTTGAAAATCAAAGATTGAGATAGGCCTAGTGTGTATTTGTTATATCCCAAATGACAGAGTGTTTAAATGATTAACTGATTAGCATTTGGATGGATTTTATTGCCTCATGATGTACAAGTGTGTATTCGCTAGAAAATATCCCCCCCCCTTCCACTTGCGGTGTTGTAACAACTAGAAAACATCAACTCTTTCTTTCGATTCCCACACGGGGCATTGGATTTAGCCAACTTCCTTTCAATTTCTTTATCTGGCTTGTTACACTATGCCTGTTAGTTAGTTAGTCATTCCCCTGGGGTGCCCTCGGGTGATTACATTGGTGTCAGATGAGGGATCAAGGCATTGGTTGTATCCTTTGCGCCCTTGTTTGTGTGGTAGTCACTGCTAGGAAAGCAGGGCTGACCACGAGGGCGTGGTCCTTTCAAAGGGGGAGATAGTGTAACGACCCTTGATAACAAGTTGCTACTACAGCCTACCATCTGGCTTGTTACACTATGCTCATTAGTTAGTCATTCCCTAGGGCGCCCTCGGGTAATTACAGATTCTTATATCAAAGTAACATTTTATACATGTATGTCATTTGAAGAATGTAATCCTATTTTCTTTACTTTATTGCTATTTTTACTGGAAATTTTTAATTGGAAATTGTATGTTGGATCATGTTTGGGCCTAAAAGGGCATCAGTACAAATAAAATCCTATTATATACTTATCAAACTCCAAAAGTTTTGTATCTTTTAGAACTTAACTATAGTATTACTAAAAAGTGTCATACGGTATTACTATATATGTCTTAGACGGGGATGCCCCAGGTCTGATGAGTTGGACTATTGGAGTTTTGACTTACATCAGAGCCGGGGCGCCAGCTATTCTTATTTTGACAAAACTCAGAAAATAGGGTCACCTTCTACATTAGTCTATAACAGATTTATAAATAAAAACCCTACAGATGCATCTATGCATCTATATATGGGGGGGATTCGATTGGTTCGAGCGAACCCCCCTGGCCAAAAAATCTTTCAAAATCATGCAGTTTTTCACCATTCTGAGCACTTTTTAAGTGATTTTGGAGAGTTTTGGACCAAAATTGTCACAAGTAAACCCCCCTGAAATTTTTCAAGAAGTGAACAGATGGCAAAGGCAAATCCATGGCTATGGGCAGTAGCCATTTTGATTTGAGCGGCCAAGCCAGCCATTGAAAATCTCTTCTCGAGCAGAGGTCCTACAACTGTAAGGCATAAGCCTACAATTTATGAACCAAATCTGTCAAACAGTATTTGAGTTATCGTCCAGACGCTGAACCGAAGGATGAATGAATATGACAAACAAACGGCCTCTATCCTTACAAACAGCATTCGGTGGGAAAATGATTAATAATATTACAATGTACACAGCATTTGGTCTTCCCCTGCAGGTCCCGGGGGGTTCACTATATATAAACCTTGACGGGGATCCTCGGCGCATGTGGGGTACCTTTTTCAACGTTTGGTATGGCAATGGACCCATATTTTAGGATTTGGTATGGGAATGCCCGGAAATTTTTGACTTCTGAGGTATGGCAATGGTCGGACTTTTGCTCTTCTGGTATGAGAATGGTCGTTGTAGATACGTTACCTAACATTCGTGGTATGGCCATGTGACTTCCTAGCTAACCCTTTAATATCCATATTTTACTGATGTATCAATCCATCAAATTAAATAGTAGTCAATATTTCAAAATTTGCCCAATTTGCCAAATTAAAGCAGTACAGTAAGTCTAGTCAACTATCTAAGGTTGAATCTCATTTTTATTATCTAGTATCATGCGTTCTAAGACTGATGTATTGAATAGAAATTGGGCCAAAGATAAGAGTAAGATGTTAAAAATAAAATATATTTAACTGAATCCGAACATTTTATGTGATGTATCGCTATGAGTAAAAGTGTGAGCCGTGTTATTTTGGTCATTTATGACCCCAACTACAGTATGGCATTTGTCCTTGATTTGAGGTATGGAGATTGGTCCTGTATTTGCACATTTGTATGACATTGATCCTATATTTCATTTACTTTGAATTAAGGTATGACATTGGTCCCATATTTGGACATTTGGTATGGCATTGGTCTTACATTTTGACATTTGGTATGGCATTGGTCCCATAATTAGACATTTGGTATGGCATTGCTCCTATATTTTGACATTTGGTATGGCATTGGTCCTATATTTGGACATTTGGTATGGCCTTTGGGCGTTATTTTGGTTGGTATGGGAACATATTGAAATTTGACAGATTGGTATGGGAACATATTGATATTTGAGGCTTCAGCCTAGGACCCCCGTCGAGTTCTATATACAGTGAACCCCCCGGGCTGCAGGTGCACAATAAGACTGGCGCAATCAATCACGGACGTCAAGTACGTTTCTGGCGAAAGCTGGAGCATAGATTAGCTCCAGCTTTCGCCAGAAACGTACTTGACGTCCGTGCAATCAATGACTTTTTGAACAAAACTCAGTCAAAAACAAAAAGTTATTTCACAATACAAACATGATGTCTTGTTATTTCTTTCTTCGAGAAGAAGTCAGTACTTAATATCAGCAATTATGTATGCATTGTAGTATCAAACTATGCTTACCTTTTTCACCAAAATCAGGTAAATGAGGATTGAACCTGGCGGTCCCGGCCGAAAGTGTGCAAAACGTTCACTTTCTTACCTCCTTTTCGAATAACTGAAGAGCACGTAATCCTGCCGGATTTGAAATGGAAAATTGTTGGTCCGTGTTTGGGCTATTTACGGCGATTAAGCTTCTCCTTATACCATCATAGTAAGTTAGACTTGTGTATAATTATTAACTTGCTCGTCGTATTCATAGAAATATTCGTTTCAAGACCATTGCACCCTGTTTATAAGATGAAACGTGGCATAGAATTTTATTTTGAAAAAATGGTGGGTGATAATAGACCATGTTTGGGATTCTGTGTGATGCAACTTGGCCATCGGCCGTCATTTCGAGCGTTTGTCATGTAAACTGATTACGTTCTACCAGAATTAATACATCTGTGTACAATTTCACAAATTATTTTCACGGGTCCACAGATATAATGTCTATGGTCGAGGTCAAACCATGGGCTTTCAACTAGAAGTAAACTCTGTTAAGCATGATAAAAGGCAAGAAGTTTAGTTAGAAATAAAAGAGTTATCTAATGAATGGGACCCTTACATAGCTCCTGAAAGGTAGAAGACACTAAATGGTGTAACACTATAAGCTGAATTTTGTCCACATAGAGCATGTGCACAATACTAAAGACATGTAAAATTGAACTGTCAAAATAATAGAAATTACTCACCAGCTCGCCTCTACCGGAAGTTATGATACGTTATGGTGTAACTACGGTAATTAATTTTAAAATATTGAAAAAATCAACAACATTCAATTTCTAGGGTGTACAACCATTTTCGAGCTAATTTGCCGATATAATAACAATATTTTTGAGTTCCCCTAGGCTATATAAACTTCATCAATACACAGTATATTCAACATAGGTTTTGCTTCTCGATTTTTAAATATCACTATGCAAAGACAGGGACTCATTTTAGGTAAAATCATTGCTTCACCAATGAATATTAAAGGGAACGTTAGCTCACAAAATAAATAAATCTATTACAATGTTAAGTATATGATTTGAAAGATTGACTGGATTATATGTGTGATCGATTGATGCATAAACAAACATAATCATTTCAACTTGCAGACCTCCATTCTGGCTCATGTATAGGCCTAAGACGCCATATTGCCTTATGTATTGTACTGCCCATGCGTGCATACTTAATGCGTGACGTCACATCGACAGAGATCAGCGATCAAGTTTGACTAAAAAATTAAAAGATCCACACTTAACAGCACAAAAATGATATCAATGATCGCCTATTTCATATCAAATAAGTGTAGGATGAAAGGTTTAACATTTTTCATGTTATTTAGTATTTACAGAAGCAGAGCTTGTAAATAATCCAAGTTTTAAATTCCGATTTTGACTGTTGACAAAAATAAAGAAAAGAGAGAAAGAGGCGACTTGTTAGAAACAATGACATGAAATTGTGAATAAAAAAGATATTATTGTGGGTTTTATTTTTTGAGAGTTCATCAAATACACTCATGTGTATTAATTTAAATATGTATTGTAATACCTCTCAGTTCTACCAAGGATTATAAAAACTGATCGAAATGGCTTCGTTGTTAAAGTATAAAAGACACTACCCTACCCGGAAGTAGTATAACATGTATATTGAAACCATGTGTAAACTGTAAATCACGTGAATTGGCTGATGCAATCAGGATGTGACTAGTACAAAGTAACTATGATGCAATCAGGATATGACTTGTGCAAAATAATTGGCTTCACCTAGAATTCGCGATCTTTGCTCTTTAGCATAGCATGAAGACATGTTTTGTGTTTAAGCAGCTAGATTCAAATACAAACTAAATGAATAAAACATAAACCAACCATAATTTGTTCCAATCATGGCGAATTTTCAAGGAAATATGTGTAACTGAATGTAAATCAACAGTGGAGCTCTTCAATTATGAGGTGAGAAAAAATGTAAAAATAAAAACAAAAATAAATCTCACAGAATAGAGCTATTTATACGATTCTAAGTACATTTTAAGTGCTCAATACATTAATGTAAGTATAAAAGCCATTAACCTCAACTGGGAAGCACTTTCCAACTATTTTTACGGCTTGATTTGTAAGAAAATGGCACTTATCTCAAAAAATGGAAATTTGAAAGAAGCTCAATTTATTGTGAAGATGAAGTTTATATATATCTGTATATGGGGGTGCGGATATATAGTCATAGTATGGGCTAATTGGCTTAAAAATGGCGATATATACCTCAGAACTTGTATTTTGTGATTTTTTCAATATTTTAAAATTAATTACCGTAGTTACACCATAACGTATCATAACTTCCGGAAGAGGCGAGCTGGTAAGTATATTTCAGTTCTTTTGACAGTTCAATTTTACATGTCTTTAGTATTGTGTACATGCTCTATGTGGACAAAATTCAGCTTATAGTGTTACACCATTTAGTGTGTTCTACCTTTTAGGAGCCATGTAAGGGTCCCATTCATTAGATAACTCTTTTATTTCTAACTAAACTTCTTGCCTTTTATCATGCTTAACAGAGTGTAGAATTGAAAGCTCATGGTCAAACTAATGGCTCTTGAAATATGGGGTTATTTCTTCATGGGCATATTTAGACCATGGGACTATTTCAACATTGGCTCATAATTTCACAGTTGGTGAGATCCAAGATGGTCAAACCCCGGAAGTTTTTATTATCGTTGATATAATACCATAGTCGAATAGACTACATAGCCCTACATATATGCTCTAAAAATCTTTTTTTGAAATTTTGAATGTAAATATTCAGACTATAACCAAATTTGGTAATAAAATATTTGAAAAGATTTTGTTACTTTCCTGAGAATTTCCCTAGAGGTGTAGGCTAGAACATAGCAAACAAACTGTAGAGCTAGATAATGAAAAATTCCAAGACACATTTTTACGTAATTTATTCCAGACAACAAAGTAGTAGTATAAGTTTTAAAAATGCATCTAATTGGACTAAAGAAAAGGTTTATCTTCCATATATCCATTTGGTTGTGATGTTATTTACTATTCACATTGTCAATTTAATAATTAACTTTAAATTGAAATATACTGTAACAGTTTGGCCTATTTTTGTGGATATACGTGGTAGCGTGGCTAATAATAGGCCCACTGTTTAGTAAACGGTGTTTACTTGGTGAGTTACACGGCACACGTTAAATGTGCGATTGTCCCTAAAGAATTAAACAGACATACAATTAAATATAAAAACAGTATATTGTGGCGTTTATAAGCCCAAATAAAGATGTACATTAAATTTCAAGTTTAATTGTGAGAGTGTTACGATTTTAGTATTTCTCTCAAAACTCACAACTCAAAAGTCCATATAAGCTAATATTTATCACTAATAAAACAATATCCAGAGTCCATATAAGTTGAAGCTGATGATCAATATATCACTGTTGTATCTCCAATATTAAAAGTTCATATATGTTGTAATACTTGTACGTCTTGTATTGTACTTGTAACTTGAACCTGAAATAGTAATCTCCTGGATCCTCTGCTATGTAGTGTAGTATGATTCAAGTTTGATGATGTGAAATCATCTATGTCAACTATCAGCTCGGTAAATGGCTATCTCCTGGATCCTCTTCTCTGGGTTGTAGCGTAATTCAACTTTGAGGATGTGAAATCATCTAAGTCAAACTATTGCTCCGTAAACGTAAATCTCCTGGATCCTCTTCACTGTATTGTAGTATAATTCAGCTTCGATAATGTAAAATCATCAAGTCAACTATTGGCTCGGTGAATGGCTATCTCCTGGATCCTCCTCAATGTGTTGTAGTATAATTCAACTTTGATTATGTGAAATAATCCAAGTCAAATTATCAAGTCTGGAAACGACTATCTCCTGGATCCTCCTCAATGTGTTGTTGTATAATTCAACTTCGATTATGTGAAATAATCTAAGTCAAACTATTGCTCTGTAAACGGCTATCTCCTTGATCCTCTTCACTGTGTTGTATTATAATTCAACTTTGATTATGTGAAATAATCTAAGTCAAACTATTGCTCTGTAAACGGCTATCTCCTGGATCCTCCTCAATGTAGATGTATATTCTAACTTCAATGACACAAGATCATCAAAGTCAAAATATCTCGCTGGATAATCTGCTAAGTCCTGGAACGTCCTCTCTGTAGATGTATATTCTAACTTCAATGACCCAAAATCATCAAAGTCAAAATATCTCGCTTGATAATCTGCTAAGTCCTGGAACGTCCTCTCTATAGATGTATATTCTAACTTCAATGACCCAAAATCATCAAAGTCAAAATATCTCGTTGAATAAACTGCTAAGTCCCAGAACCTCTTCTCTGTAGATGTATAAGTCAAACTATCACAATCTTCAATCTACCAAGTCCAAGGACGTCTAATACACGGCATCAACTGCTAAGTCCATGTAGCCTGCTTTCTTCACAATTAAATAATAAGGCTACCTACATTGTATTGTATTGTATATTTATTTACCTCTAATGACTAGAGAGTTACAATTATAAAGTTACAAATTGAAATAATGAATAAAAACACACATATTTAAAATAGTGAAGAAATGTATATCCCAAGTTAAGATGAAACCTCTATAGATACCGATGCCATCTTTCCCAAGGTCGATAGCTCAGGACCAAAATAGAGTTGTCATACCAACAACGAATTTCTTTTGATTTGCATAGCCAGAATTATGTCTGCTGTTTTTAACTGAATTTCGGTTGTACTTTCACCAAATATTTGTTTTACACGTAACTCATTGCTCATATTATAATCGTTGTCAAATGTTCCATGATATAAATTATTCATTTGCAAACGCTCGAAGCTGAATGCATCACATTGAAACAGGAAATGTTCCATTGTTTCAGGTTCCTTTTTACCACATAGAGTACACTGTAGATTATAATTTGATCTATTCCATTTCTTACAGGAGTTCAAATTGAATTGACCCGTCAATAATTTGACGACGGCTTTAAAACTGTTTAACCTATTTGGAAACTCTTGAGCTAAGATCCACCATATGTTTGGTGTTTTACATTTATGGACAGTTAGAAAATGAGAAAGGCCTGGATGTAACATGCACCTAATCCTGAAAATTGTCTCCTGAAGGTCTTTCACACGACTACAGATCAAACGTTTCCAAGCAGCCTTTGGGATATGTTG